GGGGAATATCGGTTTTGGTGCCCGGGGGAAGCCCAACCCTGGGCTTGGGCCTTGCCTGATCACCCGATGGCTGGCACTTTGGGCCCAAAAAGACCCCCGGAACTTCCCACGCTCCTTCTGGGGGCCGGGCATGGCCCAAAGATTGTAAGGGCTAGTAAGTCCTGTAAACACCTGCCAAAAAATAAGCCTTCCAGAAAAAAAGTTTGGGGTCTGCTGCGACCCTTACCGATTCCGAAAGGCCTTGCAAAAATATCGTTAGACTTTATAGCAGCTTCCCCCATAAAATAGACCACAAAGGGAATCCTGGGGGTCGAAAACCCTTGTCCAAGATGGCCCAAAAAATTCATCCCGTTGAAGAAAAACCCCCTCGGGAGCCGGACTGCGCGAGTTTTCATTCTGAGGGAAAGGCTGCATGGGTCCCCGAAACTTGTCTCAACCGGGGGTCCAGTTCACGTCAGATTTTGGAGGGCACTGTGCAAGCCCTGGACATCAAATTTCCCTTTCCCCTTCCACCCCCCAAACAAAAGGGGCAAAACCAAAGGACCAATCGACCCTCAATACTTGAGATGCACACTTTATTTTCCAAAATGATATGCCCTTTTCCCCCAAACGAATTCGCATACAACATCCCGTCCCAGCACGGGCCATCCCCGTTCTTTGCCCAAATTGGGTTTTCCCCCCTGTCTTCCCCCCGATTTGGGCCCGAATCCCAGTAACCCCCATGAAAAAACGTAGTAACGTTTTTCTCCACAAACAATAAGAAGCTCAAAAGGCCATCATCGGGGGCCCAGGGACACAGGAAGGCATTAAACAAAACGGAGGGGAGATCTTGTGTTGGCCGGGGGGAAAGGGTTTGGCTAGCGACTCCAATTTTAAAGAGCTTTGTCCGTCAAGAAAATTGGGACCCAAGTTTTTAGGCCCCCTTCTTCATTAAAAAGGATTCAACGAAGGGCCACGAACTCGTCCTTCCGACACCCAAAATCCACCCATCTTTTCCCTGGCCCGCGAAGCCAGTAATCCCAGATCCTTCCCGACCGAAACTAACCCCCGGGGAAACCATAACTCAAGGGGGAAGAGGAATTTGAGGGGGAATCAATCCGAAATGCCGAAGGGGGGGGCCGGCCCATTCCTAATCAATGGAAGGGCTATGGCCCTGAGGACAATTCCCGGGGAAACCCCCCCAGAATGTCCAAGCACCTAACTTTCCGGAAAGGTTTCTTTGGATCACCCGTGGGGGGAAAATCGGTGGGGATCCGGGGGTTCCCTAGGGGGGGGGGAATGTCAGGGGTCCCCCCATCCCCGCCGCGATGGTCCCGGCACAAGGGGCATGTGCCGCCCGTGCAGGGGGCTTGACACTGGGGCCGGCCGGCCGCGGCGTTCGATTTCGCATGCGCAGAGAAAACCGCCCCCCCGCGGGCACCAATGGCAGCGCAGGGCGGGATATTTAAACGACCCTGAGCTGCAATGAATGCCTTTTGGTCTTACCTGTATCCTGTTTCCGTGAACCGTTATTGTAAGTTGCTGACCCGGGTTGTACCTGACCTTGCTGATTTCCCCTCCCAGACCCTTTCTTTGCCTGACCTCTCCCTGAATCCCCCCCCTTGGATTTTACCTGCTGTTGCTGACCTGGCGTTGACCCGACTATTTTATGCCCGCTGCCCTTTTTCCTTTTTCCCTCCCCCTGTTACCGACCCGGCCCGTCTACCCGCTCATCCCCCCATCCCGGCAGTGGGGTCTGCTTTCCCCTCAAATCGACTCTTCCCCCTGGGGGCCCTTGCGCTACCACTACCACTGACGGGGCGCACCCAGACCACGACCTGGTCCAGGGGCCCAAAATCCTCCCCACCCTCAGGGGGCCCGGTGAACAAGCACCCTGGGCTTTGACTCCATGTCTGGGGACGCCTATTTTTTGGGGTGCTAGTATGTACAGAGAGGATACAGTTTAAGGTTAGGAGCCACACAACTTAAAGGCCCACTTTTAAAGACAAACACTGCCGCACTGCATTTCATATTTTCTAGTGTCTATACAACAGCACTGTATTGCTGGTTCACATTACTTGGAGCGATTGTTCTCATCATTTATATAAGCATATTTTTTACTGGTTTCATTTAAAAAAACCCATAAATATTGAGAACAGTATGGCTGTTTCTGTTTTCTTTTGAGCTAGATGTCGGTTATACTGTATCTCCCCTGGCTGGAATTGCTAAGTTGAATCCACAAGGCGTTGAACTTTGTGAGATAAATGATCCAAATCAGATTTGAAGCGAGCATTGTATATGTATATTTAACCTTTGTAGTGAAGGTCTATTTTGGAGGTGAGTAGACATCCATTGAGAGACAGTGGAGGCTTTTTACCTGAGAACACACTTTTCTTGTACTTTGACGATGTGCACATTGACGAATGAGCACGGTTTTCCACCACAGGATGGTGTGCATAAAATTAAATATGTGGACACAGAGAAAAGACACACATTTCTGTTTATATTGTTTATATCATTTATTTTTATTCATCACTTTATTGTATTGAATGCACATCATTTTTTTTTGTATATAACAGTTTCGGTAACACTTGAATTGTATATAGCGCAGCACATTTTTTATATATTAATAAAGTGATTATTTTATTCACTGAGTGCTGCAGCTTGTGAACACAGAGCATGTTGCATGAAATATATTTATTTAAATTAATGGGCTGAGAAGAACAACTCCCAAAGGTTAAAAAGAATTTGGATCTGATGTACGTGAATTTGTGGAAAGGATGGGTTTTTTGTGTCCTTGATAAGGCAAAACTGTTCCCAAAACCAGCACATACCATTCCAAGGTTTGAACTCTGTGCAGCTGTGTTAGTTGTTGAAATTTCTGAGCTTATAAAATGTGAAATAGACTTTGGAATAGAGGGCTCTTTTCACTTTTACACAGACCGCAAGATAATGTTGGCATATATACACAACCAAAGAAAACAGTTGTATGTGTATGTCAGAAACAGGGTATAATGCATTAAAAATGTCTCCAATCCCAGGCAATGTTACTATGTGCCTATGGACTTGGATTTTGCAAAAGCGTTTGACATAGTTCCCCACACACGGCTAATGTGTAAGGTAAATTTCTACAGACTTGAAAAAAATCTGTATGTAAATGGATATAAAACTGGCTAAAAGATCATATTCAAAGAGTAGTGGTTAATGATTCATACTCTGAATGGTCTAGGGTTTGTCAGTGATGTACCCCAAGGTTCAGTGTTGGGGCCCTTACTTTTAATATATTTATAAACGATATTGGGTCTGAGATTAAGAATACCATTTCAGCCTTTGCAGAAGACACCAAGCTGTGCAGTGGAATAACTTCCTTACAGGATGTCTCCAATTTACAAGCTGACCTCAATGCACTGTTTAATTGGGCAACTATGTGGCAAATTAGGTTTAATGTTGATAAATGTAAGGTTATGCACTTGGGGGCTAAGAATATGCATCATACATACTAGGGGGAGCACAATTAGGGGAATCAATGGTCGAGAAGGATATGGGAGTTATGATAGATCACAAGCTTAATAATGGCACTTCTAAAGGGAGCAAAATCCTCTTGGATTAAAAGAGGTATAGAGTCCAGTGAGAGAGAGATATCACTTTACCCCTATACAGATCATTAGTAATAACTCATCTAGAATATGCAGTTCAGTTTTGTGCACCAATTCACATAAAGAACATTGGGGAACTGGAGAAAGTGCAGAGAAGAGCAACCAAACTGATACGAGGCATGGAGGAGCTCAGTTATGAGGAAAGATTAGAGGAACTGAATTTATTCTCTCTTGAGAAGAGGAGATAAGGGGGGATATGATCAACATGTATAAATACATCAGTGATTCATATAGTGAACTCGGTGTAGAGCTATTCACCCTGAGGTCATCACGGAGGACAAGGGGGCACTCTTTACATCTGGAAGAAAAGAAATTTAATCTCCAAACATGGAAAGGGTTCTTCACATTGAGATGTCATGGTCATCCCCACCTGACTTCTTACATGATGAACCCATTACAATTCACACTGATTCTACATTTGAACTTGTAAACACTAAATCTGACAAGAAAATCAAAGCTAGTGCTGTTTCATGCAAAACTTCTGTGAATTCCAAAATGGTGAGAACGCAGCCTCATCTTTAACACTTTTCTAAATGGTCTTCTGTTGTATAAGCTATTGTATGATGTATCATTTCGCTCCTCAATTTGCAACCAATGCTGAGGACCATAAAGAGTGCCATGGATGGAACATCTGTAAAGAGCCTCCCACCACTGAGGAAATTTCACAAGCAGAGAGGGTCATCTTTCAATGCGTTCAACATGAAGTATACTGACAGGATATTGATAACATATCAAAGGTCAGGTAAAACGGATTGGTGCATGTTGCTGCCTTCCCCTCTGCAGATACACTTATAAACTGTCTTCTGTGCCATCTTAAAGACACCAGTAATGACTTTTCACATTTTACAGTATGTTAATGTTTGCATTTTTCTTCCATGTCATTTTGAGGTGTTTCAGAAATATTGTTCTTTTGCTATGTTAGGACTTGATTTTCAATTAAAATTGCATTGTTTTTTGTTTGCCTTTAAATAATTAAGTCCCTTCCTCCCTCCATAGGGCACAGATGCTCTATATAGCTTGTTCTACCCTTTTCTCAGTGTTTCTTTAGTTTCTGTTCTGAGCACATGTAATTGCTGGAGCTAGACATCCAATATTTTTTCTATATATCTGATGTTCACCTGTGAAGATCTGCAAAAGATTTGGAATAAAGCTCCTGCAATCTGTGCAATGAAATCATTTGAATTGAGTCACTGATGGATAATTCTGAGACAGTAAATTACAGCTATCTTTCTTAGAGATGATCGAATTATTCAAAAATTCGATTCGGCTGATTCGGCGAATTCGCAGAATAAATTCGATTCGAGTCGAATATATTCGCTGCGAATTTAACTTATAAAAAGGGTGTTTCTAGGCTTCAGAGAGCCTTTATATTAGTGCAGAACACTGTACCTTTAATTTAAATGCCCTTGGAGTCTGCTGGGGAAGAGAAATAATACTGTCAGTCAGTATGACATGCAGATGAGTGCCGTCGATCTTAGAATCACCGCACACTTCACTCATTTGGGCAGTCACGGGGCCAAAACCAGAGTGTGGAGCCACAGTGTGGCGGTGGAGGCAGCAGCAATGGGAGGCCATACAGCACCCTATGAAAAAATGGAACCCACCAGCAGTGTGAGGAGACCTGAAAGTGGCACATGGCAGAGTGTGGCGATGGAGACAGCAGCAATGGGAGGCCGTACAGGGACCCATGACACACTCTGGACCTGGCAGCAGCATGAGGAGGCGGTACAGGGGCCCATGACACATTACGGGCCTGGCAGCAGCATGAGGAGTCGGTACGGGGGCCCATGGCAGATTACGGGCCTGGCAGCAGCAATGGGAGGCCATACAGCACCCTATGACAAAATGGAACCCACCAGCAGTGTGAGGAGACCTGAAAGTGGCAAATGGCAGAGTGTGGCGATGGAGACAGCAGCAATGGGAGGCCGTACAGGGACCCATGACACACTCTGGACCTGGCAGCAGCATGAGGAGGCGGGGGTACAGGGGCCCATGACAGATTACGGGCCTGGCAGCAGCATGAGGAGTCGGTACGGGGGGCCCATGGCAGATTACGGGCCTGGCAGCAGCAATGGGAGGCCGTACAGGGACCCATGACACACTCTGGACCTGGCAGCAGCATGAGGAGGCGTACAGGGGCCCATGACAGATTACGGGCCTGGCAGCAGCATGAGGAGTCGGTACGGGGGCCCATGGCAGATTACGGGCCTGGCAGCAGCAATGGGAGGCCCGTAATCTGCCAGCACCCTATGACAAAATGGAACCCACCAGCAGTGTGAGGAGATCTGAAAGTGGCACATGGCAGAGTGTGGCGATGGAGACAGCAGCAATGGGAGGCCGTACAGGAACCCATGACACACTCTGGACCTGGCAGCAGCATGAGAAGGCGGTACAGGGGCCCATGACAGATTACGGGCCTGGCAGCAGCATGAGGAGTCGGTACGGGGGCCCATGGCAGATTACGGGCCTGGCAGCAGCAATGGGAGGCCATACAGCACCCTATGACAAAATGGAACCCACCAGCAGTGTGAGGAGACCTGAAAGTGGCACATGGCAGAGTGTGGCGATGGAGACAGCAGCAATGGGAGGCCGTACAGGGACCCATGACACACTCTGGACCTGGCAGCAGCATGAGGAGGCGGTACAGGGGCCCATGACACATTACGGGCCTGGCAGCAGCATGAGGAGTCGGTACGGGGGCCCATGGCAGATTACGGGCCTGGCAGCAGCAATGGGAGGCCCGTAATCTGCCAGCACCCTATGACAAAATGGAACCCACCCAGCAGTGTGAGGAGACCTGAAAGTGGCACATGGCAGAGTGTGGCGATGGAGACAGCAGCAATGGGAGGCCGTACAGGGACCCATGACACACTCTGGACCTGGCAGCAGCATGAGGAGGCGGGTACAGGGGCCCATGACAGATTACGGGCCTGGCAGCAGCATGAGGAGTCGGTACGGGGGCCCATGGCAGATTACGGGCCTGGCAGCAGCAATGGGAAGCCATACAGCACCCTATGACAAAATGGAACCCACCAGCAGTGTGAGGAGACCTGAAAGTTGCACATGGCAGAGAGTGTGGCGATGGAGACAGCAGCAAATGGGAGGGCCGTACAGGGACCCATGACACACTCTGGACCTGGCAGCAGCATGAGGAGGCGGTACAGGGGCCCATGACACATTACGGGCCTGGCAGCAGCATGAGGAGTCGGTACGGGGGGCCCATGGCAGATTACGGGCCTGGCAGCAGCAATGGGAGGCCCGTAATCTGCCAGCACCCTATGACAAAATGGAACCCACCAGCAGTGTGAGGAGACCTGAAAGTGGCACATGGCAGAGTGTGGCGATGGAGACAGCAGCAATGGGAGGCCGTACAGGGACCCATGACACACTCTGGACCTGGCAGCAGCATGAGGAGGCGGTGCAGGGGCCCATGACAGATTACGGGCCTGGCAGCAGCATGAGGAGTCGGTACGGGGGCCCATGGCAGATTACGGGCCTGGCAGCAGCAATGGGAGGCCATACAGCACCCTATGACAAAATGGAACCCACCAGCAGTGTGAGGAGACCTGAAAGTGGCACATGGCAGAGTGTGGCGATGGAGACAGCAGCAATGGGAGGCCGTACAGGGACCCATGACACACTCTGGACCTGGCAGCAGCAAGAGGAGGCGGTACAGGGGCCCATGGCAGAGTGGCGAAGCGTAAGCAGCTTAAATTGAAGCACCCATACAGAGGCCCTATGTTAAAAATAATAACATGTTTGGGGCATGATTCATGGCGGATTTTAGTCAGTTGTGTCAGGAACTGGTGGTTTGAAATCCAGACTAATCCACGCCTGATTCATTTTCACAAACGTGAGTCTCTCCACACTTTGGGTGGACAGTCGTGTCCTCCGCGGAGTTACAATACCTCCTGCCGCACTAAACACGCGCTCCGATGCCACGCTACTGGCCGGGCATGACAGCCTTTCAAGGGCAAATTCAGCTAGTTGGGGCCAAAGGTCAAGTTTCGTTGCCCAGTAGTCAAGGGGATTGTCTACCTCGGTTGGCAGGGTGCTGTCCAAGTAGGCCCAAGCCTGTTGTTTGAGGTCCTGCTCCAGGTCCACCTGATGCTGCTGCTGCTGCGGCTGGTTAGTAGTTTCCTCACTGCGCTGGTGAAGAAAGCTACTCATCATCGACTGCAGACTGAGGCAGCCGCTGCTGGTGGAGCTGCCACTGCTCCTACCACCCCACCCCTCCCCTGCTGCCATGGCAGCGGAACGCGAGCGCACAGGGCCCACAGTGTCTGAGGAATGGACGTTGGCGCACAAAGGCAGAGACCAACTGACTACATAGGTGGTTTTTATAGTACGTTATTTTGGCCTCCCTCTCAGCAGGTGTGAAAAAGGCCACCATTTTTGAACGGTAGCGAGGGTCCAACAAGGTGGACAGCCAAAAGTCATCCCTCTGTCTGATGGTTATTATTCGGCTGTCGCTACGCAAGCAACCGAGCATGCTATGGGCCATTTGTGCCAAGGAATGCGAGGGACTCCCTGCCTCCATCTCCACAGCATACTGCCACGGTGCGTCTGGGTCCTCTGTCTCCTCCTCCTCCTCTACCAGATGCTCCTGCTCCTCCACTCCTGTCTCCGCTGAGTGGAAAAACCACCCATTTCACTCAATAATTCCTGAGCACTAATGTCCTCCTCTACCTCCTCCTCTTCTTCCTGTCCTGCCCCCACAGGGGTCATGTGGCGTTGAGATCTGTGCGCCACGTCTACCGCTCCCTGACCAGCCATTGTTAACAGCATTTGTTCCAGGACGTGCAACAGAGGAATGACGTCGTTCATCCCATAGTCCTGCCGACTCATGAATAGCGTGGCCTCCTCAAAGGGCCTGAGCAAGTGGCAGGTGTCACGCATGAGCTGCCAATGGCTGACATCTAAGTTACACAGGGGGAGTACCTTTATCCGCTTGTAACATCAGGAAATCGGTGATGGCCTTTCGCTGTTCGTAAAGGCGGTCTAACATATGTAGGGTTGAATTCCACCTTGTTGCAACGTCGCAGATCAGGCGATGCTGTGGAATTCTGTTCTGCCGCTGCAGCTCAAGTAGGGTGTGCTTTGCGGTGTAGGAATGGCTGAAATGCATGCAAAGTTTACGTGACATTTTAAGGATGTCTTGCAGTGGGATGGTGGATTTTAGGAATCGCTTGAGAACCAGATTGAACACGTGAGCCATGCATGGCGCATGGCACAACCTTCCTTGACGCAGAGCAGACACCATGTTCTTTCCGTTGTCGGTCAACATGGTTCCGATCTTCAGTTTGCGCGGAGACAGCCATCTGTCGATTTCTCTGTTCATTACACTCAGAAGTTCCTCCCCTGCGTGACTACGTTCGCCAAGGCATACCAGGTGCAGCACAGCGTGACACCGTTGCGCCCTGCACATGTGATATGCCGGTCGGGTAATGGGACTTGGCACGGGGGTGGCGGCTGAGGACACGGCGGAAGAAGAGGTGGTAGAGGCGGACATCTTTGCTGGACCAAGGACGTGCAAACGTGGAGGCAAAAGCGGCGTGACCTGTCCAAGTTGCTGGTGCGGCTGTGCCGGCACCACGTTCACCCAGTGGGCCGTAAATGACATGTACTGTCCCTGACCGTAGTTACAGCTCCACACGTCGGCGCTGCCGTGCACTTTGGCAGAGACCGACATGCTCAAAGACTGGCCCACCATCTCTTCTACATGTGAATGCAGGGCTGGCACTGCCTTTTTGGCGAAGAAATGCCGGCTTGGCACTCTCCACCGCAGCGCGGCACAAGCCATCATTTCTCGGAAAGGTGCTGAGTCCACCCCTTGGAAAGGGAGGGACTGCAGCACCAGCAACTTGGACAGGAGGACGTTCTGCTTCTGCACCGTCGGGTGCGTGCTCGCAAACTGTTGTTTCTTGGAAACGGATTCCAAGAAAGACTGCTGACGAAATCCGTGAAGAGGAGTAGCAGGAGAAGGAGCATCTGAACGAGCGGAAGATGCCAACGAGCGACAACTCCCCTCAGCAGAGGTGTTGGAGCCTTGACTGGCTGATAGAGGGTGATTGACGACGTCGGGTGACGGAGCAAGTAACGGAGCTGGTGATGGGGCGGGGGCTGGGGCAGGCAGAACCGCCGTATCTTTATCACAGTTTTCCCAGGCCACCGAATGGCGACGCTGCATATGCTGACGCAACGCTGTAGCCCCAACATGGGCCCCCTGGCCACGCTATAGTCGCAAAGGCCTTTCGTTTACTTCCTCGGGGGGGGTTTTTCGGGAAAAAATTTCCACACCGCGGTAGGAAACTTTGCCCCCGCTGCAATGCCCGCGGGCCCTGTGCTTGGGAAAAACCCCCCGATGTTTTGTTTTGCCAAGGGGTGGCACCCCCTTCTCCTGATGATGCGGGGAAACCAAAAAAGCCTGTTTACGCGAGGGCTGCAAAGTTTCGAAACAGCCTTTCTTCAAACAAAATTAAAGGGGTTTCCCCCTCCATACTAGCCCCTCGGGTGCCCTGTGGGTCAGGGGACAGGCCTGTCTTTAGACCGGCTACCCAAGCCCCTTCCCCCCCCAAATACTTTCTTCGCCTGGCTGGAAGAGAGGGGGTTTTCTCCCCGGTTTTTGACCGCCCTTGTTAGTCTTCCTCAAATGTACAGTTTGGGGGTTTAGCCCACCCCATGGAAAACTTTGTTGGTGAGGGAACACCCAAAAGGGCAGGGGCAGGTAGGGACACGTGTTTTTTGTGGGTTTTTCCCCGGGGCCCTGCCAATAACGGTTGTGTTGGCGTAAACCCCCCGGGCCGTTGGGCTGTAGGTGTCAGAGGTAAAAGGGAGAGGAAGACAAACCTTTTGATGACGGCAGGGTTGTCGGTGGGGGAAACGGGAACCCCTGGATGAAAACCGGGGGGCCCGGCCCCTTTTCTGGCGGGTTGTGCTGCCCCGGGCCCCTTCTCTGTGCCACGTTGCTCGGGTCTGAAAATTTTCCCCCTCTGGGCCAAAAACCCCTTTCTTTTTGTTTTGCATACTCTTTTAAATTCCCAAAGATTCTGGGCCCCAAGTAATAAGATTTTTGTGTCCCCGAGTAACGATTCGGGGGTCCCCGAGTTAAAAAATTCTGTGTCCCTGAGTAACGTTTTTGTGTCCCTAAATAAAAATTCTGTGTCCCTTTTAGTAACAATTCCGTGTCCTGAGTAATTTATTCTGTGTCCCCCCAGTAAAAAATTCTGTGTCCCCCAAATAAAAAAATTC